GTGAGGTGGGGGGGGCCGGCTCCAGCAGATACAATTATCGCCTTGAAGCTGCCATGTTGCCTGCAGGCTACGCAATTAGAGATGGGCACAAACCAAACCACAAATCAGAAAAAAAAAACAATGACAATTCGAGCCTATTCCTGGTTTGGTTCATGACCCAGTTCAGGGATCCTGTTTTACCAAAGCAGAACAATGACAAATTCCACCCCCCCTTTTCAGGGCTTCATTCTGGTTTGGCAAAACAGATGCCTGCCCACTCCCTTCCCACTGCCCCCAGGGCCTCCCTACCCAAGTCCTGATGCCACCTCCCTGGGTGCCATGAGCAGAGCAGTCGGTCGCTGCCTCTGTGTGGGCACTCGTCTCAGGCACATGCGCAGAGGCAGGGTCCGGTCTCCTTGCAGGGAGGCTGAGCCGCTTGCAAGGCGCCTGGGCAATGCATCCACACGGGTGCAACAAGAGCAGGGAGCTCCCCCCGCCCCCCCAGCAAAAACCAAAGACCCAACTGCACACGAACCGTGAACCATCGCAAACCCCCGTTCTTCAGGATCCTGCCCATCTCTACATGGATCCCCACCCCTGCCATGAAGTAAATGACATTTCAGCCGCCTTGCCTGAGTTGCTGCCAGCTCCATGTCTGCCTTGATGAGTCGCTCCCGGCGTCCCATTTCCTGCAGCTGCTGAGACCTCCTCTCACATTCTTCCTTCAGGTCACCTTCAGCCTGAAACAACGAGAGTCTGTGAATAGCCGTAGAAAAGGACGAGGGATTTGGGTCATTCTCTTTCCCTGTCTCCCAGTAAAGACACCAGAGATGACTCCTCCCCAGTATCAAAAGCCCAGGATCTGTGTGACTTTGTGGAAGAGTCGGTAAGAACGGGAGACTTCTTGGCCTTGGCCAACAAACCACCCAACTGGAACAAGAGCCACACCTTCCCTGCTAGAGAGCACGCTGATGCACTCCTGTGAAAGGCAGCAGAGAAATCTCATTCATGAGAAAACCCATGTTGCCACGGTGCAGAGCCTGGACAGTCCAATGCGGGATCCAACTGATACAACAGGGAACATTTTTAAAGAGGCATCCTCTTCAGGATTGGGAGCCCTTGACATAAGAACCTGGCCAGAGTCGTCCTCAGTAGAGATCATCTGGTACGAAGCATGCCTCCAAACAGTGGGGGTGACGAGGAAATCAGATGGCTTGGTTTTTGCTGTTTCTGAGAATGCTGTCCACATTTTTATCCCATCCAAATTGTGAGGGCCATTTTAACATCACCCAAATTTCTGCATATTTGGGGGATGGACTTCTAAAGTTTATATTTTTGAGAGTATGTTCATCTACATCTTTAAAGACAAATAAGGTCCCCTGTAACTGTGGGATCACTATTTGTAGTTTCACTTATACATAGTCTGAAACAATTTCAAAAATATTTGAAATATTAGAAGAAGAAAAAAAACTAGAAAGACATATTTTAATGATGTGTTTACCAGAACTGGTCACTAGAGAGACCCAGAGACGATCAGCTATATTCTTGTTGGAATGCACAGCATGGTCTTTATTGAAAATCCCATGGAGTTAATCACTAAAATCCTACTGGAACCTCCAACTAACGTAGACCCACTGAATCAATGGGATTCCTAACTGTTGACTCAACAATTGACCCACGGGGTCTACTCTCACTGAGACTAGCAGTGGAATTTAGGCCAACAGAGCTTGACGCCCCACTGAAGCCACACCCAATGCTCTCAAAAGAGAGAGGAGTCCACAACCAGAGGGAAGAGAGGAGCCGGGGGACCATCATGCCCCAATCCCTGCTGATCAACAAGGCCAAAGCCTTGGGACCCCCAACGCCAGAACACAGCATTCAACAGCTAGTTGAGATCAAACTGGGGAAAGAGAACATGGGCTACCTTGAGCTTTCTGGAGAACAGCTGGACAAAAACCGTGATGGACTGACAGATGCTTAACTTGCAGGCAGGGGGAGGAGAGAGGTGGAGAGGACAGCCTCAAAAGTATTTTGAAGAACACAGGGGAAACTCGCCAGACACCACACGTTGGCACCTCCATGCGCTTTTTTAGGTCTGTCGTGGGACTCGACCTCGATCTTTACCAGCCCTGAGATTTGAATGCTGGGAGAAAGGCTTGAATGGGTTCCTTAAGTGCAGTGAAGCTCAGCAATTTTATCCATTCATGTTAACACTGGTGTGAGGAAGATTTTTAAATTGCCATTATGTTAACTGCAGATGTTGACACTGGAAGACCAACAGCCTGTCACCCTTGGGTTGAAACGGTTTGCCCAGGAGTGGAATTCTCTGTTTGTGCTCCAGTTGCCTTCCATGTGGGGCTCATTTCCAGACTTATCATGATCACCCCGCCACAGTCCAACTGCTGACTGGCGAGGGAGGCATTTGCAGTCCCAGCACTTCTGGAACAGACGAGAGGGCAGAAGGCCTTCTGGCCGCCCGCTGGGCACCCCCTCGAACAATCCATGCCGTTTGTTTTTGCTACCCCCTGCGGCATCTATTCTCCATTTCTAGTTACCCATGCCAAAATGTAGGCATTTTGAGCTCTTGAAAAAATAACTTTTTAAATTAGAATACATTAGTTGTTTACATCGAAAAGGCCTCATGCTGTTGCTGTTTCCATTACTCCAATTATGTCCTTGCTGTTTCTTAAAGAAACGAACTTCTTACAAATACCTGTGTCACATGAATTTATTACTTCCTGTCTCTCACTTTATTGGTACAATAAAATCAAAGAGACATTGAAAGTTGTTCTGGCTTCCAGCCAGTCAGAAAACAAGGAAGTGCCTTCTCTTCACCTGTAACACAATCTCAAAAGTCTACCCGAGCTCTGGGAGGATCGTTTCTAATGAATCTCCTCGGCATAATGTTTTGGAAATGCTAGGCACCTTTATAGGCACATTTGCTGTTTGTTGGATGCAAACAGTCCCGACTTCATGTCCGTTAATATATAATTTATCTTCCCATCTAGTGGTCAGCCAGAAGGTAACTTATTTTTGTGGTTCTTTACTGCTGCACAAAAGCAGCACGGCACTTCCATCCATAGCAGCAGCTCCCAACTCATAGTACACACATTCATTTATTTATCTTAAAATCTTTTAACTGCTTATTGCTTGGAATAAAGAATATGAACAACTGGAATGAAAACCGTCCCTATATCCATAATCTTGCCTACTTTAAATTTTAAAAAAGAGGCAAAACCCACAGACAAACGGTGTCATTTACCTGTGTTTTTTCAACAAGCTTATTAGATAAGATTTCCTGTTCTGCCCGGAAGGTCTTTATTTCTTCTTCAGATCTCTTCACTTGTAGCTCCAGGCTGGCAATATGCTGCAAAGGGAGCCAGGAAAGTGAGACCAGTTGTACAACACGGTGCAAATCCTTACACCAACAATTAAGGTTAGTAGCCAAGAAGCACAAGCAGAGGTGCTCTGGGTTACGGGCCCTAAGAAAGGCTGGCAGCCGACAGTCACAGTGTCCGTCTCATTCGGAACAGAATTCTGCAAAACATGTTTCTCAGGACGTTTAACGCCATTAGTTGCTGTCAAGGGGCCGGTTTCTATGTCCACTATTTTGAAATCTTTCTCCCTTCTTTTCTAGGTGTCCCTTGGCACACAGATTGCCTTTTTTTGATAATCAGTTTTGGGTTTGGATTCTTATCCTAGTGACCGGGTTTGGTGGCCGTAACCAAAACAGAGCCGCTGAGAAACATTTGCAGAATCACAAAGAAATATACCGTATTTTTCGCTCCATAAGACGCACCTTTCAATAAGACGCACCAATTTTTTAGGAGAAGAAAACAGGAAAATATAATCTGTTTTCTTTGCTCCATAAGATGCACAGACTTTCCACCCCCCTGTTTTGTGGGGGAAAAGTGTGTCTTATGGTGTGAAAAATATGGTAAAAACTAAGAAGGGCAAGGCCAGCCAGCCCATGAGGTTCAAGCATGAAGTGCAGCCCTGAAAAAGGAAAATCGAACAGCGACAGCTGGGATGGGACGGAATATCCCCAAAGAAGGGATTGTTGATTTGCTGTGACTGCAAAACCAGATGACACTGAAGAGACACAAGGTGGCCGGTCCCGTTGGTAATATCACAAAAATTAAAGACAGGGTTCAATGGCTAACAAATTCTCCCCTCCTCCAGAACCTGGGAATGTGCATGCTAATTAGGTGAGCTTAACTGAAGGCTAACTCACATTCTTCAATGGGTTTACTTCTCTGTCTCTGAGTTCCCGCTTCGTTTCCTCTTTAATTTTAGAACACTGCAACACACAGCAATGAAAGAAAATGCAGTTAGGTAAGACGGCTGTTCACTGTATTAATACGGGTGCCAGTTGAACCCATAATAATTAGATCTGAAGATCTGATTAAAGGTCCACATCACACAAAGGGGATTTTTTTAAACAAACATCTGCAGCATATATATACAGGAGACGGTGGTTTAGGTCGGTCTAGTATCTGTGAATAGTCAAAGCTATGGTTTTTCCTGTAGTGATGTATGGAAGTGAGAGCTGGACAATAAAGAAGGCTGATTGCAGAAGAATTGATGCTTTTGAATTGTGGTGTTGGAGGAGACTCTTGAGAGTCCCCTGGATTGCAAGGAGAACAAACCTATCCATTCTGAAGGAAATCAACCCCAAGTGCTCACTGGAAGGACAGATCCTGAAGCTGAGGCTCCAATACTTTGGCCATCTCATGAGAAGAGAAGACTCCCTGGAAAAGACTCTGATGTTGAGAAAGTGTAAAGGCATGCAATGTATGGCGTTTGCTATCAAACTAGTGTTGCACGTTTTTCGACACCCGTGGGGGGGGCTTGGAACCGATCCACCACAGATATGGGGATCCTCCTGTACTATTGGAGCCCTCCTGTTCCTTTAACTAAGCAGGGCTGGGTCTGCCCCCTGGCTGGGAGGATTGCCTGTGTAACTCAGCATACTGACAGCTAAAAAAAGCAACATTAAAAAGACAAAGCTCTGTGCTAGCTGGGGTCCCCTGGACAGCAAGGAGAACAAATCTATCAATTCTAAAGGAAATCAACCCTGAGTGCTCACTGGAAGGACAGATCCTGAAGCTGAGGCTCCAATACTTTGGCCATCTCATGAGAAGAGAAGACTCCTTGGAAAAAACCTTGATGTTAGGAAAGTGTGAAGGCAAGAGGAGAAGGGGATGACACATGATGAGATGGTTGGATAGTGTCATCAAAGCTACCAGAATGAATTTGACACAGCTCTGGGAGGCAGTGGAAGATAGGATGGCCTGGCGTGCTCTGGTCCATGGGGTCACAAAGAGTCGGAAATGACTAAACGACTAAACAACAACGACCTGGGGCTTGCGCTTCTTGAAACTTCCTCCTGTCCCAGAGCAGCAAAGAGTGAGTGGTGGCACCACAGATGACCCAAGCAAGGAGCCAGTGGTTCAGAAAGCGCTCAGCTGTTGACCGTGGAGGGGGGACTTTATTCATGACAGGGCACCGAGGGCTCTCTTTGCTAACATTTTAGAAAGGCGGGCCCTGAAAAAACATGATTTTCAGGTACAGCAGAAGTGCAGAGAAGCACCCAAATAAGTCACAGAAGGACTTTAGAACTGGCTGGGTTGGAGGAGCCAGAGAACCGAGCCCCAAGCCAGATGAGAGGAGGCTGGGAAACAGAGATGTCTGTTCTTGCTGAGCCATGAAATTCCTCAGGTGACCTTGGGCGGATCACTCTCCCTCCCTTAGAATGATCGACTCCACCTGACGGAGGTTACGGAAAGAACTCAGGGTGAAGGCCACGGCGAGACAGGTTCCTTGCTTTGAAGTCACGGGCAGAAAGGCCAAGGACCGATAGAAAGGAAAGCAAAATCAACAAAGAACGAGAACGGCAGGAGGCGAGAGGAGACACCCGAAGAGCACCGCAGGGCAGGGCTGGCGGCTCCCCTTGGCAAGATTTTCAGCCAGAGCAGAGAAGACAAGCAGCACGTCAGCCGGGGAGCGACACCAGCCGGCGGTGGGGGGGCACGGGTTCTTCTACAACGCTGGATTCTAGAGGCAGGCACAAACTGTGAACCAGAAAAACCAACAAACCAGGCCGGTTTGTGGTTCCGTTCGTGACCTGGTTCAGGGGTCCTGTTTTGCTGAAGCAAAACGAAGCCCTGGGCCCTTTTCCCCTTGGTGCTCCATTGTGCTTCGGCAGGACAGGATTCCCACCCAGCCTCTTCCAACTCCCCCCCCCCTCGTCACAGCCACGGCCTCCTCCTCCTCTTCCCTTCCGGCAGCCAGGCCCGCTGCCTCTGCACATGTGCTCTCCATCCAGCGGCCAGGCAGGTGCCTGATCAGAGGCTATGGGCCTGATGGCAGGTGCAGCAGTGGAGGTGGTGGCAGGGGCAGGAGGGGGCAGGGGGGCAGCCGGCAGGCGGCAGAGGCAGCGTAGGGCCAGGAGGAGGTCAGCTCCCCCCCCCGGCCTGAACCATTCATTTTCCCATGGGGCTGTGGTGGGTCATGGTGGGCCAGTCTACTAGCATCTCGCACAGGTCCCAGAGAGCCATCCTGGAAGCACAGCACGAAATGTCTGTGGTTCGTGCCTGTCCTTGGCGGCACCAACCATACAGAGGTCACCTGCCCACCCGCCGGCTGCTCAATGTCCAAGCCGGACGTTGGAGGCCACGCCGCATGACCCCCTCGGGAAGGCAAATGCTGTACAGAGGGCGCCCAACAACCCCTACAAGGACAAAGGCACCCGGCATGCCCACATCTCACAGACACAAAGGAGACCACAGAAGTGGGGTGGGTGCACAGAGGGCCCCCACCCCATTGCTTTCCTCAATGAAAGTGGGGGCTGCAAAAGAGGATGATTCACCTGGGCAGAAACCTGGGCAAGCCGGTTGTCCTTCTCTCGGTTTTCCCTCCTGAACGTCTCGGCATCCATTTTCAGCTGCTGTATTTTTTGCTCCTTCACCGTCGCTTCTTTTTGCAAACTGGTTACAAGCCCTGCAGGACAAAATGGACAACATTTAGAGCAACACTTTAAAAACTGAACTATGGGCAGTTTCAGTGGGCAGGATCTTCTTTTTCATGATGGAGGCTTAAAATAACTTTACGCGTACAAGAAGATCCAGAGTTGGTCTGTTTACCTGCCGGCTTTGCTCCCAGTAGGAGTTCTCAGGGTTCTTGAGAATATATAAGATTTAGGCTACTCGAAGGACCTCCTCTCTCCACCGGAGACCTTTGGGAATCCTGGTGGACTCAAAGGTACATTTGATGAGGACTTGAGAGAGGAACTTTTTGGTGGCTAATCCCAGGCTGTAGGAGTTCCACCGAAACATATAAACCAATGCTACAGGAATGTGCAAAGGCTGAGAGAGAAGATCAAGACCTCGATGCTAGTTTTCAAATATCTGCTGGGTAGCAGCAGTTCCAGCAGAAAGAACCATCACATTTTGAGGCTTAGATGGGTGGGAGACTTCCCCTAACAAGCTCTGATCAATCTTGCCAACAGAGACCTTCTTCCCCACAGCGTAGTTAAAGACGTGAAACAAAAGACAAATCAGACGTTCTGAAAGACCATGTTCTCTTAGTGTAAATGTTCTTGATACGCCATCTAATTCCTCCCACGGTTTGTCCAGGGGTTGACAAGAAATCGTGCCAAAGGAAGGCCATGTCACGTCGTGAGATCTGTAGAACGAGGACTTTACTTTCGACACGAATGAAGGAAAGTAAAAATAAGAGGAGGCTAGATCAAATTAAGTCTGAACTCTCACTAAAAGCTAAAAATGACTTAATTGCAGCTATCGTGAAAAGAGAAAACCCACTGGAAGAGGCAGTAATACTGGGGGGGGGGGAATAGAGGAGAAGGAGAAGAGGGCTGATCTTAAGGCTGGGTGGATTCCATAAAGCAAGCCAATGGCCTGGAGTTTGCACAGCTTGAGGAAGGTGGATCATGGCAGAGACCCTTTGGGAGGTCACGACTTCAGTGTGGTTTTTGTGAGCGTAGTTCAGCACATGCAAAAACAGGCAGACATGGCCTGGAAAGTTGTAGAATCTTTACCGGATGCTGGAGGCCACCCCCCCCCTTGATAAAACCAGCTAACAAGCAGGTATGGCACCTGGTGAGATACAAAGAGAGGTTGTAACCAAGAGTGAAAGATTTTGAGCTTCCACTGCGAGGACACTTCTACACTTTGGCTACCATTCTGCTCCTCCCAGACTAAAATCAAGGAAAAAGTTCTTCAGAACCAAGGATTTTAAAAAAAAAAACACCAAACCAACTGATAATAGCAACCCTTTTTCAAAATTGCAGATTCTTCTTTAACTCTGAAGGACAAAGTCGATGGAAGACTGAAAAGAAAGGTCTACTCCAGGGCAGTCGACCGGCTCCTGTTTTATTTCACGTGTACGTCTACCAACAATCAGTCGCTTCCTCAAGGCACCAAAAGTTTTATTGATGCTGATACTCTCATGCGTGCTGCTCAGTCAGACAGTGCTCAGATGGTAGAACCTCCTTTAACAGATGCATTAGAAGAATGTGGTGCATACTGTGATATAAATCAACACAAACCTTCCTCAGATTCAAGCATGTGCTTGCCATTTGAGAAACACGCAGGCATCTTGTACGCTTCAGATTACTTGGAAGGGTGTCCAACTCTATCAGTGTTTTTTCCCCCCACCTTGGGTAACCCAGATGTTCTTGGACTGCAACTCCCAGAAACCCCAGGCAGCAGAGTCCGTGGTGAAAGCTTCTGGGAGCTGCAGTCCAAGAACACCTGGTTAACCCAAAATGAGGAAACACTGAACTAGATCCTTGTTTTGGCCCCAAGTACCAAGGTGTCACTTTTGATCACATGCTGGCCTATTAAAAAAACATGCCGAAGTACAACCCAAACGGTCTCTGCAAGGAACAACGTTCTTTGAAACCTGTTGGGGGGCCAACACAAACACTTACAGAGTGGCAGAGAGGTAGAGTTTTTTGAGTTTTCTAATAGGATGCAATGGGAGCAAAAATAGATCAAATGGACAGCGAGAGGCAGAAGTGTAACAAAAGAACGCAACTCAGGGGCACACTGGCGTGGCAAATATCCAAAACGTAGGCTTGAGAGTGCAGGCGAAGGAACATCCTCTCAACTGGGCAATGGCAGGGTAAGAACGGAGGGATGAAACGAATTAACAAACTAGTCTTTGAGTCCCCTTCACAGACTGTTGCCTTGTCGTGGCGAAGAGAAGACTCCCTGGAAAAGACCCTGATGTTGGGAAAATGTGAAGGCAAGAGGAGAAGGGGACAATAGAGGATGAGATGGATGGACAGTGTCATCAAAGCGACCAACATGAATTTCACTCCAACTCCGGGAGGCAGTGGAAGACAGGAGGGCCTGGCGTGCTCTGGTCCATGGGGTCACGAAGAGTCGGACATGACTTAACGACTAAATAACAACAAAAAGTAAAATAAACCAATCCATACTAGTCACATGTGAAGTTTACCAATAATGCTGTCAGATATTTTTACGGCTTCCCACCAGTGTTAATGCTGGATTTGGGGAACTGGTTTTAAAGCAGGGGTGCCTGTCTTTTATAAATAACGATTTTGCTGCACTCCAGCATGCCTTCCTTCCCTTCTGTTGTGACCAAGAAATGGGACAGAAACCAGATTTCCGGAATAATACATCAGGGATTATTTCTCTTTATTTTTTTAAAAAAACATGTATTTAAGAATGGGCCAGATTTCTTACAAATCAATCAATAAATGCAAACAGCAATGAGGAAAAAAATCAATGAAGCCAGAATTTTTGGTCCAGGATCTAAAGTCGCGTCTTTAAATGCAACTCTGCTATGCACCATTAAAAGCAGTATAATCTCCAAATCCCATGCGGGACTAGTTCCCCTCTATTATTTTGCTATTGCATCATACAGTCAGTTGTCGAAGGCCTTAAGTTCTGGAATCATCTGAATCAGTCTAGAAGATTCAAGGAATTCCGTTCGCCCACAAGATTCCAGGATTCCAGGGAACCACTTGTCGCCTCTTGGGAAGCGTGGTTCAGCTTTCCACCAGGAGAGGCAAAAGTTGGGACTTGCTGGCCCACCTTCATCTCCCAAGGTGAGAAGGGCTTCAAACCAGGTGAGGTCACGTGAGATGATGACGGAGCATCATAATTTTGCTTTGTGACAACAGAGAGAAAATTCTTTGAAACTTTACCTTTGTCACTCAGGGGTTGAGTTTGCAGATGGAGGATTGGAGGGAAGGACTGAGGATGTCTAGGACTCAGGAAAGAGCCCAAAAGGTCATTAAAACAGGAGCCGTGGTGATAGATACTGGGACCGGGACCTGTAAAGCCGGGTTTGCAGGGGTAGAGACCCCTCAGGCGCTCCTTAAGACGATGGTTGGGTACCCCACAACGAAGTCCATGGGCAAGAGAGCAGATACCTTTGTCGGGGAGCACACCCGGTTGGAGGGCGAATTACACATCATTTCGCCTCTAAGAAATGGTGTCATCATGGACTGGGAAGCTGTGGAAGATTTGTGGAGGCATCTCTTCTACCACAACCTCAAGGCCGCCCCGGAAGAACATGCCCTGCTCCTGTCCGACCCTCCCCTCTGCCCGATGACCAACCGGGAGAAGCTGGTGGAGGTGGTCTTTGAGTCCCTCAACTCTCCGAGGATGTTCGTGGCTTCTGAGTCCGTCCTGTCCCTCTACGCCCATGGCAAAATCAGTGGGCTGGTGGTCGACACGGGCTACGCTACGACATACACTGTCCCAATCCACCAAGGATACAATTTGCCCCATGCCGTTGAGTGGATGAACATTGCCGGGGCCAACATCACGTCCTTCTTGATGGACCTCCTGTGCAAAAGGGGCCACTGCTTTCATGAGCGAATGCTTGCTGTCGTGAACAATCTCAAGAAGAAGTGCTGCTACGTGGCCCTTGATTTCGAGGTGGAGTGGAACCGTCCCGAGGAAGAATATATGGTGGACTACTGGTTGCCGGACGGCCAGACCATTCAGTTGGGAAAAGAGAGATTCCAGTGCCCGGAAATGTTATTCCATCCTCCGCAGATGCCAGGGCTTTCTGTCCCCGGAGTCCCCGGCCTGGCCCTAAAAAGCTTGCAGGAGGTGCCAGAAATCTGTCAGAAAGAGATGTATGAAAACATCCTTCTCTGCGGAGGCTCATCTCGGTTCAAAGGGTTCAAGGAGAGGTTCACCCACGACCTCTTGGCTGGTGTGCCCATCAACACAAAAGTGAACGTCACCACCATGCCGCTCCGGAAATACTCCGTCTGGACTGGGGGATCCATCCTCGCGTCTCTGAATAACTTTCAACGCTACTGGGTCCTGAAAGAGGAATATCAGGAATACGGGCCATGTATTGTCCACCAAAAGTGCTACTGAGCTTGGGGGGGTGGGTGGGTTGGATTTTTATTTATTTAATTAATTGATTGATTTATACCCCGGCCATCCTCAAGGGGGGAAAGGTAGCAAAACAAAATACAGCCATGTGTTTGCATAGGCGTTAAATATAGGTTTGTGGTTATTGGTTGGAGAGGAACCTATTCCTCGTGAGGTATATGCCACTCTGCTTGTCCTTTCTGCATGATCACAACAACCTGTACAGGTAGGTCAGGCTGAGAGGAAGAGAATACAAGTGTTCCACTTGTGTATGCTTTAAAATGCTTATTTAAATACACAGTTCAATGTGAACCCTCATGCTTATTGTACAGTGGGACCCCTTTATCTGCAGGATCAATATCCACTGATTCACTTATCCACAGTCTGAAGATATTTAAAATATTAAAAGGAAAATCCCATAAATACTGTATATATTTCTAACAATGAAGTTACCAGAACTGACCACTAGAGGGGCCGTATTCACAATTTTCAGCATCTGGTGGGGGTCTTTGAATGGATTTCCTGTGGATACTGTAAAAGGGGTCCTACTGTAAAAGGAAAGGAAAAGAAGGTTGGAAGTGAACACAGAGAAAGCTGACACCAATTCACCATCTTTGAATGCGCAAGGAGCTGAAAACAGTCATCATCTTGTCCATTAAAACAGGAAAGAAGTTGGGGGAGACATACATTCCCAGTTCCAGTGGAGATCAGTGACTGGGGTGTCAGCTGGGGTGATGGAACCAAGAGGCAAAGTATTTTAAGGCGTTTTGGTCATGAGTAGGCAATCGAGAGCCTTTAGCTTTGCAAAAGACCTGCTCCTCATGGAGAGGATAACACCTGATGCAAGTTTGTTGGGCCAAAACCTCACACTGGTGTGTTTAGGGCAGAGGTCCCAAACCCCCGGTCTGCAGCCCGGTGCTGGTCCATGGCCTGAGCCCGACTGGGCTGAGGAGAGAGACCTTCCCCCCAACCCCGCACACACTCCCCCCTGTATGTGCCTGCGTGTGAGCGCGTGCACATGCATGAGCACTGTGCCACCCTTTGCGCATGTGCACGACCGTGCGCGCCCATGAGTGCCATGCTGCCCTTCACGCATGCACACAAACACAAGTGCACATCTTCGTGCATGTGCACGAGCGGAGGGAGGAGTGCCCTGCCTTCCCCAGTTGGTCTGCAGGGCTAAAAAGGTTGGGGACCGCTGGTTTAGGGGACTCTGAGGGGATAGTGGCTGTGGGGAGGGGGGTCACAATGATTGTTGCTACCCCAAAATACAACAACCTCAGATATGCAGATGATACCACTCTGATGGCAGAGAGTAAGGGGGAACTAAAGAAGCTCTTAATGAGGGTGAAAGAGGAGAGCACAAAACATGGTCTGAAGCTCAACATCAAAAAATCTAAGATCATGGCCACTGGTCCCATCACCTCCTGGCAAACAGAAGGGGAAGGTATGGAGGCAGCGACAGATTTCACTTTCTTGGGCTCCAGGATCACTGCAGATCAGCCACGAAATTAAAAGACGCCTGCTTCTTGGGAGGAAAGCGATGACAAACCTTGACAGCATCTTAAAAAGCAGAGACATCACCTTGTCGACAAAAGTCCGCATAGTTAAAGCTATGTTTTTTACAGTAGTAATGTATGGAAGTGAGCGCTGGACCATAAAGAAGGCTGACCGCTGAAGAATTGATGCTTCTGAATTGTGGTGCTGGAGGAGACTCCTGAGAGTTCCCTGGACTGCAAGGAGAACAAACCTATCCATTTTGAAGGAAATCAACCCTGAGTGTTCACTGGAAGGACAGATCCTGAAGCTGAGGCTCCAATGCTTTGGCCATCTCATGAGAAGAGAAGACTCCCTAGAACAGACCCTGATGTTGGGAAAGAGTGAAGGCAAGAGGAAAAGGGGACGGCAGAGGACGAGATGGCTGGACAGTGTCATGGAAGCGACCAACATGAATTTGACCCAACTCCAGGAGGCAGTGGAAGACAGGAGGGCCTGGCATGCTCTGGTCCATGGGGTCACAAAGAGTTGGACATGACTTAGCGACTAAACAACAACTCTTTGAGTTGCATAGAGAATCATTCACATGGCTGGATGGCCTCTTCCACAGACTGAACTTCATTTCATTCTATGCGCGTAGCATGAACAGAGCTGCACACTAGAAAGGACAATGGTGAAAATACTCATTTGCCATAACATACGGCTAATCACAGGAGGTCTAATTGAAGCAGAAAAACCAGATTCAGCTCCAGGGCAAAATGGACCCAAATGTATAGATAGTTTTGGATTCACGGCAGAAATTGAATCAGATGAGGCTCTAGAGGGGGGGGGGGGAATCCTATCTCCAAATTTTATGTCCAAAAGCACAAGAATTTTTCACAGTTTTGGCTCTCCACTGTAAGGCAACGGAAGGCCAGTGATCCAAATCTACAAACTGGTTCAGATGCAGGACACAAATCATTTCTGATCAGATTGGGATCCATTCCAATGCCCTGTTATCTGCCTCCAAACCAATTCAAGGGCCTGAGCACAGTCCTCCTGTCCTTTGCCATGCATGTCACACAGCAGGTTGGAGGCGGGAAGGGAAACTGCTAGCTTGGATGCATCTAAAAAGCCTCTCGGCTCCCCTCCCACAAAAAAAAGCAGGAGGTGAAACATATAAATTCGTAAGTGAATGCACAAGCCACTAGCCAAATGTGAACTAACTGTAAAAACTTGTTATCAAGGTCACAGTGCAATGCTTCTGGAACTAGAGGTAGTCATGAGAAGATATAGGAATGACAACGTGGCGGGTCACAATGATATCGAAATCGAGCAAATTAAACATTTTGGCCGAAAACCAAAGGAATGGCTCCTTTGACTCTTTAATAGCTGCTGGACAAGCAAATTGTAAAAATATGGAAAAAGACGAAAGCAGTCGCCACAGTGAGACCAGGCAAAGAATCAGAGGCTTCAAAAGCTACAGGCCCATCTCTCTACAATGCCACTTATACAAAGTGTTTGAATGAATGCTATTAAACCGTCCAGCCTCTAAAACAGAACCCTCTTCTAATTCCAGACCAGGCAGGCTTTAGGACTAGCAAGAACATGTACGGCTCAAATCTTAAATGTAACCCAACAAATAGAAGATGGTTTTTAAACACATAAAATAACTAGAGCAGCATTTGTTGACTTTTACAGTGGCACACGATACTGTCCACCATCAACTGCTGCTCAAAAAGCTCTTATTTCCTTACTAAAGATCACGGGGTCACAGAAATAGGTGCCCCCCCCTTCTACTTCAAAACTGAAGATTCTTTGTTGAATTTCAAGGGAGGCACTGTCACTGGAGAAATCAAAGGAACATTCTTCCACAGAGTAGCATTCAAGCAAAATTAGTTTTTAGCATTTACACAAACGTTAGCCAATATTCCCATACTCTGGGAGTTTCATCTATGCTGATGATCTTGCTTTGACAGTCGGGGGGGAACCTTTGGGGCCATCGAGCACCAGCTAACCTCTGCATTATAAGATCTCCCCTTATGTTATACAAACAACAACCAGTTGAAACCAAAACCCTCTAAAAACAGAGGTCTGTGCTTTCCACTTAAAGAACAGAGAAGCAGAGAGGAAGCTCCGAGTTAGCGGGGAAGGGAAGATTTTGGGTCATTGCCCTGTCCCAAAGTATTTGGGTGTCACTCTGGATCAAAGCCTGACCTACAAAAAACGTTGTCTAAGGACCACGCTGAATATTGCGGCCAGGAATAAACGTACAGTGGTGCCTCGATTAACGGGCGCCCCGTTTAATGACGAAACTGCTTAGCGAAGAAGATTTTGTGATCGCTTTTGCGATCGCATTGCGATGTTCCCTATAGGAAAAAATCGCTTTGTGATGATCGGTACCCTGTTTCGGTTACCGATTTTTGCATAGCGATGTTTTTAGAACAGCTGATCAGCGGTTCCAAAATGGCCACCGGAAAAACATGGCCGCCCGCTGTGTTTTGGGACGGATTCCTCACTTACTGGGCAGCGAAAATTGCTGCCGTATGGAGGATTTTTGCTTTAAGGTGAGTTTTAAGCCCATAGGAATGCATTGAACGGGTTTCAATGCATTCCTATGGGCTTTTTATTTTCGCATAGCGACGAAATCGCTTTGCAGCGATTTTTGCTGCACGGATTATCGTCACTATGCGAGGCACCACTGTGCTACTGCAATGCTCTCCACATGGGGCTTCCAGGAGAAGCTTAAGCAGGTTGAGAATATGGCGGCCAAGCAACCGAATGGAGTTAGGAACTACCAACATATCCCTCCGATTCTGGCTGCCTTGCACTGGCTACCTGTCCATTTCCGCGCCAGCTTCAAGGTGATGGTTCTAACACGCAAAGCCCTAAATGGTTTGGGAACTCGGGACCTGACAGAACATCGTCTTCCAGTGAGAACTGCCCATCTTACTTACTTGTCCCAGGCTGGACATCTGAGGAGGCTGACCCTGAGAGAGGATGAGAGGCAGAAAACTAGGAACCGAGCCCTCTCAGCGGTCACCCTGCACCTTTGGAATCCACACCCTCTGTCTGGTCACGCCTGACCCCTTCGCTGGTAATATTTAAGCAGCTTTTAAACACCTGGCTATTTCAACAGGCCTTTTATCCCGTTTCATCTATGGAATCCAGTGAAACAATTAGCCATTAAGATCACAATGCTGCCATTTTAAGTGTTTTAAATATCCAAATGTTTTATCATTATTATTATGTTCTATTATGCTAACATTTTTATATTAATACTGATATTTTGGTTTATTGCGTAGGCTTGACATTTTCTTTATTGTTTATTGTTTTATATTGTAAACCTTACATGCATGCATGCATGCATGCATGCATGCATACATACATACAGTGGTGCCTCGCTTAACGGGCGCCCCGTTTAACGACAAATCCGCATAGCGATGAAGATTTTGCGATCGCTTTTGCAATCGCATTGCGAGGTTGCCTATGGGGAAAAATCGCTTTGCGATGATCGCGGGAAGCGATCATCGCAAACGCCCCATTTTCGCACAGCTGATTGGCGGGGCTTTGGGATGATCGCGGGGAAGGGCTTCCCCCCATCATCCCGAAGCCCCGCCGATCAACTGGGGGAAAAACGTGGGCTTCGAGATGATGGGGGGAAGGGTTTCCCCCCTATCATCCCGAAGCCCCGCCGTTCAGCTGGGGGAAAAACACGGGCTTTGGGATGATGGGGGGGAAGGGCTTCCCCCCCCATCATCCCAAAGCCCCGCCGATCAGCTGGAGCTCTCCCCCGCGGTCCTCCCGAAGGCCCCATTTTCACACAGCTGATCAGCGGTTCCAAAATGGCCGCCCGCTGTGTTGCCTCGCTTTAGAGACACCGAAAATGGAGGATTTTTGCACACGGTGAGTTTTTAAGCCCATAGGAACGCATTAAACACATTTTAGTGCATTTCTATGGGCTTTTAAAACTCGCTTAGCGATGAAATCGCTTAGCGACGTTTTTTCCTGCATGGATTAACGTCGCTAAGTGAGGCACCACTGTACATAGGAAACTGGCTGGGTCAGACTGGGGTGCACAATCACAAACAGTAAGAACAACAGCTTTATCCCAGACCTATGACTCCAAAGCAGAATATGCCAGTGCCGTTTGGTAGGAATCAGCACATGCCAAACAAGTGGACGTAGCTCTTAATTAATCATGCAGAGTTATTACTGGCTGCCTGAAACCCACCTCCAGAAAAACTCTATTACGTATTTGGCTGCCCTTGCCCCTCCAGAAATAAGGTAATCCAGCACCAAACCCATCCACTTGACGGACAACAATTCCCAAGACAACAGCTAAAATTGAGAAAATGTTTTCTGCACACCTGCCCCATTCCAAATATCAAACGAGAAGAAACTAGGCTAAACCTACAGAGAACGAAAACAACACACTTTGCCAAACGGATGAACTCCAATAGTGTCTCCCACCAAGACAAGGCTGAAGCTGGACCATTTGGAAGTCACGTAATAGATTTCAAAGCAAAGTAGGAAGATCAAAGAATCAACAAACAAAAGGGATACAGAACAAATGTTCTGTGATTGTGGAGAAATTCAATCCATGCAATACTTACGTTCATGCAATATAGGCCCCACCATGATGCGTACAAAAAAAATCTAGCAAATGGCTGAGATCACCCTATTGAAATACGTCACTTCTAGTTAAAAATAATCTAATTCTCTTAAATTTTTTATTCGTTTTTAATTTTACCTCTGCTTCACGTATGTCCATAATTTTAAATTGTGCAATACTCTGATATGAAAGAAGGAAGAAAAAACTGTATAAAGAACTAGCAAGCTATTCAGA